CTTCAGATAATTTTGCTGCATATTCTAACACATTCCTCTTAATAAAGCCTCTTTTTTTCCCTCGTTGCAGAACTTTTTCCTAACAAAATCCGTTTGTGACTTTCGATCTTCGTTAATTTTGTTTATTTATTTTTTCATTTTGAGAAGAAATGAAAATCTACATCGGCGAAAAAATCTGTATTCTAAAACATAAATCAGTAACATTTAATAAAATTTCATGAGAAATGCGATATTTAAACACTGCTTAATCGTCACAAAAACTGAAAACATACGTTAGCAATATTCATTTACACGCAAACTGTTATGCTTAGTCGTGACAGATGATGCATTAGTTACTGTTCGTAAACATCTCCACTCTCGTTCCCGTCCTTCTTCATATTAGTAGTGCGTCGTTATATTTTCTGTTGCTACGATGTGCTGTTAATTAAATTTTTTTTTAAAGCTTTACTTGTTTTGTATCGGCCTTACGTAAGTTATTATGCAGCATATTTCTTAAAACATTGCTGTCACACTACGAAACTTTAAAGATATTTATTACAAGCTTATTATTTTCTGCAGTTCTAAAGTTATGATACCTTATTACGGTACCAAAATTGCCAACACACGCAATGAAGAATGCCTTTATAGTTAGCTGATTACTTATCTTTGCATTTAGTAAAAGAAAAAAAATAAGTAAAATTTATTCTGCTACTCCTAATAAAAGCAGTGATAACGAGGACAATGACGTCAACGGCCTGCTTGAGGCCACCATCTCGCGAAAAACTGATCATAATATGTTTCTTTTAACTTACTATTTTCACTGTATGTTTTTACGACTCTCTTCTTTCAGGCTTTTGTGGTACTGCAGTCGAATCGGAACGTTTTTCGTTTTGAATGGGGAGGTTTTTCAGATATTAGGTTATAAAAGCAAAACTTGAAGAAACAGCAAAATGAATATTAATGCCCAGTTTCATTTAATGAGAGTGATATAAAGTGTCAAACAGTTTTTAAAAACATTGATGATGGCGATAGTTAACAACTCAGTGTAATCACATGAAATTTTAGGTACAAGCACTTTCCAAAAAAGAAATTTCCTTTTCTATAAAAGTAGATTATTGAGCAGCAGAAATAATCTATGGCTTTACAACTGAATTTTTTTTTTAAATAAGAAAATGTTTATTGTCACTGAAATTCACATTTTTAATTAAAATGCTGTAGTTGCTTAAACGAACTTGGCATTCTTAAACTGAGAGAGAACGGGCTGGCTGCATATGCGTTTTCCTGTTTTTTTCCCATGTGAAACGTGTTATACGAGCCAATTTCCCTTAAGTCCTTCACAAAGGCATCCCTCCCTTTAGGCAGATGGCCCTCGAGTGCTTTTCCGTATTAAATAAACCAAAGCAAACCAAACCCTTGCAAAAAGATTTATTTTTAAAGCATTAATACTTTAATACATAACACTTTGTTTTATGATTTATTTTTAAACACCGATAATAATTTAGACTATTTAATTTCCCATCAGTTTATGGCAGTTATTAATATACTTCGGAATTATTAGCGACTTTATCAGATATATATACCAAATTTATCCTTTTTTTAAAACAAATAAATAAATAAAAAATGGGAGACAGTTGATTTGAATGTGCTTTCAATAGCATTTTTTACGCGTTCATCCTGTCATAGCTATATATATATATATATATATATATATAATTTATGCTTTACAAAACAAAAAATCAAAGGTCAGATGTGAGTTTGTAAATCCTTAAAAATAAATTGGATTCATAATTTTTAAATATTTCTTAAAGTACTTACGAAATTAAAATAATTTTCTAACTGCTAACTAAATAGCAACGTAAATAGGAGACAAAACTTTTCATATATTGAAAAAACAGAAAATAATAATAATTGAATGTTTATATAAGACAAAAGTTCAGACAGCTTTTGAGAAAACAATGACAAATTTGCAGTGGAATATTTCATCACAATTTGCTTGGAAATAGTATTTCGATGTTTTTTTACGTGTTATAGCAACAGGTTACTACCGGAACGAATGGCAAACTCAGAATTATATTATCTATTTACAGAGCCAAAATTGTTTACATAAAAAACGTCATATTAATTCCGTTGATATTCGAAAAATTCGTCACGGGCATGATAATGACTACGTGTCAGGCGTAACAATTAGTCTCGGTAACAATTAGTCTTAGTTCAACCTTTGCTACATAGGTGTTTATCATAGGTAAACAACGCGAAATTTCTTTCCCATGGGAGTTAAGGAAAATCATAATCCTTTCAGACTATTCATAAATAGAAAAGTAGTTTGGATATAGGTATTTGAATAGAACTCCGGCAGTTTCATTCTTCTGTTGTTTGCTTAATTGAAGACACCGACTCGTATTTTTATAACACTTAAGAACACCTCAAAATCACACATTAGCTTATATTCTGGAACCCGAACCCAGGGTAATTATTAATAGTCCGTTGTCTTAATCGCTTTGCCTCTGGTGAACTCTTCGGATTCCAGTCTAACAGGATCCCAGCGAATGCGTTATACACATGAGTGTTTTCATGATTTTGTTTGTAATGCATGGTAAATGTGAGTCGGTATCAATTAGAATTGTCTCCACGAAGACATTTCTCCTATTAAATAGATAACCCACGTATGCTTTGCCATAAATAACAAAAAAAAAAAAAAAAAAAAAAAAAAAAAAAAAAAAAAAAAAAAAAAAAAAAAAAACAAAAAAAAAAAAAAATGCCACTAATGATGAAATAAAACTTTATTACTGATAAAATTGTTTTATTTGCGAAAACAATTAGAGCTATAAGTTAAGAACAAAGCAGATTACTGAAAATTTAGAGAAATTAAGTTACAATAGTATGGCACGCATCTTTTTTAGCAATAGCAAAATCATAATTAAAATAGCCTTCGAACATTGAAGTCAATACAAGATGTTTCTGGACTATAAACAATACGACTTAAGGCACAGCAAATTTAAGCTCCCGGGGTTTTCAAATTTATAATTAATTAATTAATAATTTCAGATTTATTGTTTTCCACTTGCAGGACAGGACAGGAGTTACCATATGGTGAGACAGGTACTGTCCCGTGATGCTACTGATTCAGTGAAGCATCCTACAGAACATCAGGTAAACTCCAAAACATTTAAATGCATTTATTTATTAGAATAATTTTTATATTAATATAAAGAAATTTTTGTAAACTGTTATTGCTCGCAAATATCTTGCTCTTGTCCTGAAAGGTATTTTACAATATTGTTGATTTTGTGATGAAGCTTTGGATATTCGAGTTTGTTTGTAGTTGGTCTAAGGCTGTGATATGCTTGTATGCATGAGATGAGGCATGAGATGACGTAGTGTTCTGGATATCTTTTGTCTCTGAAAACATAGGTGTCTGAAGAACATATATTTCTCTCTTAGTAATAAGTAGGGAAGGCTCCATATCCAGATATAAATTGATTCAAAATAGGGGTTTTCAGAAAAAATGTCCGATGATTTGGGGGATGTTCTCAAGAGCCGCTCTGGAACCGTTATTTGTGGTAGAACAGATCATGAAAGCTCCGGACTATCTGAACGTAACTGCGGATCAGTTGCATCCTTACATGGCGTCTGTCTTCCCAAATGGAAATGGAATTTTACAGAAGGCGAACGCCCCATGTCACAAAACTCGAACTGTGTTGCAGTGGTTCGAGGACCATAAGGATACCAATCTCTTTCCAGACATCTAATCAAGACCTTGTGGCATCCTTGCCATAGCGAGCGGTAGCTGTTTTGCAGCCCAAAGTTCGCGCAACAGGTTATTGAGTATGTGGTCATTATGTTTTGGCTCTTCAGTGTACGTATATACAGACATCACGAAAAAAAAATCCCTTTTGAATACGTTTTAAATTCATTTTACAATCCGTTTTGGTAAACAAGTCCTTTATTCTGTCCGTAGGTACAGATGTCAAGCAAAACCATCGTTCAAATGGATTCGACAGCAATCAAAATGAACATTTTCTTTGAAATATGATACCCGAAAGTTTTCACGATTACAACACTTCCTTTACCTCGTATAGAGAAGTGAAAAGGGGGTCTTATTTTTCGAATAAATACGGATAAATTAATTCACAGTGTAGTCTTACTCTGTGTGAAAGAATCAACATCTAAATTATCAGAGGCAACCCCAAAACATAGTAAAAATAAATAAAAGCCATCGATGTTGATATAAAATTTACAAAACAAAGCTAACTATAAAATTTAATCTCTGTATCGCCACTTGGTCGTGTTACTCCGAAAAAAATTAATTAGGCATACAAATAACGGTTTAAGTTGAGCTTTGCCGAGAGTTTTAATATAGAGAGTGGTAAATGTATTTACGATTAAAAATATACAACAATTCTATTATTTCAGATTTAAATTGGAGTTTTTGTTCAAATTTTTAAGATGTAAAATTAAGATATGGTTTAAATTTCATGCAAATATACCAACATAATATTTCTGTCAATATTTTACTCTCTAATGATCGGGACTCAAATAATTAAGTTTTAAAATTCGAAATGATTTCATGAGAAATATTTCTCAATACCTATTATAAAATTATTTTAAGTTTTCATTACTTTGCAGTTTTCCAATTTTAAAATCCTTCTAGAATATTTTTTCCAATTTCCTCCTTTTGAAATCATATATCGCATTGAATTCGAAGCGATGCGGTATTTTGTTTGAAAATAACAATTATGAACGATGACGTCGGGACATAGAATATACATTGGACGGAAATTGCAATACGTGACGCTTAGAAATCAAACATTTAGTGGTGTACCAATGACGAGATTATAAATTTAAGCAATCGCTCAATGCGTGGGTAAAATAGTTTCAGTTTCAGCATAAATAGTTGACAAAAACCCACGATGAAAATTTGACACAAATAAACAAGACAGAACCGTTACACACATCTCATTAAGGAAACAGATCGCAATACAAATTTCCAGATTAAAATGAAAAAACAGATATAAACTTACTCAAGGAATTCCAGTTTTACCTACGCACCTATCTAGATATCACTCTGTCAGCAACAACCGTTGCTAAGAATCCATCTGTCTTCGACGCACACAAAACTCTTCGACATCCCACTCGAAAACACCAATTCTAGGTTGGTTGAGTGTCATCAGGCTGGGACGCGGTGAAAGATTAAACAGCTTTGTTTGAACAGGCAAAAATTGAAAATACCTGGTTGGTGAATGCGGTCGAGGCACTAGTGAGACAAATCCATTCCAAAATTGGGCACACCTCGTGACTAGTCGACGTTACATGATGCTCATAAAGAACATTCCAATCGTTATGTTGTTATTTCAGTCGGCGTTTGCTTTCTTAGCCGTCATTTCAGGTAACAGAAATTACAGAATCATCGGTTATCATGTATTTTGCCTTTCGGTGGGGAAGGAGGGGGATATGTGTATTAGAATGGGAATGTTAATAGTTATTACAGTTACTGATGAGCGCGTGGTTGCACGCCATCACGCCAAAAGAGCCTCATTGTCTTTTCTTTCATCTAAAAGATCATGTTTCGTTCACTTGTACTTAATTGGGGAACCATGTTTTTATTTTTTAGTCTTCAGGAAGAATTTGATGTTTTACAGGGGACTGATTCATTAACGGTCAAGATATTGATCAACCATAAAAACTACATGATTGTTCTACATGGTTTAACAGACATGATCACGGAAACATGAACTCATTCATCAAATAGATTGCTCTTAACCTTCAGTGCATATAATTATTACAGTGATGAGTATAAGAATGAATTGCAAAACTTATTAATAAACGTATTTTTGTCTTTTTATCATTATCAGCTCAAAATAGCAAAAGTACATTAAAAGGCAATCTTTGAAGATAGGTTAATAAATATCTAAATTTATAAAAACATTTAGACATTCTAGCATTATTAACGTAAGATAGTAAGGTACATTCGAAAGCAGTCTGCCAAGATATTTTATTTTAGTTAATGTGTTAAGAATTTCTCAGTCCTTAAGGCAATTTTGCTTTTCATTCTTTTATCTGCATTTGAGTGCTCTATCAAACTAATTTATTTGCTTCCTAACTCCAATACAAATCCGACCCTAATGTTTTTATTAATTTATTATTTTTTAATCGGCCACCTTAACTGATATAGAGAGTATGATGCTAGTCGTCACATCGTTGGATCAGGGATCGAATTCCGGAGATGACACAACTATTCGCATAGATATAGCCTCTTTGTGACATAAAGGCACTTTAAATATTGTGGAACGATAGTTTCATCGAGAGATTGGTTTCAGAAGAAGAGAGTTAGTCCCTTGGATCCGTCCTTCGGGGCACACTCCATGAAAACTATGACAGAGTGGGACAGACTCGTGATGTCATCTAAGTGGTATTCAAAGTCTTGGCCGATAGCAGGCGCATTTTGTCCATAACCTGCTTCTTGCCCACGGTAAATTCGTGTTATAACATGTAAAGATTAAGTGAATTAATCAGAACAACAATCTTTAATCAGGAGTATGAATGTCATACTCCTGATAAAATAATAACTAATCGATAATGGATATGTTCTTCAAATTAAAAAAAAAAAATAATAATTTCACTAAATTTACTGTTTCTTGTATCAAGCGGAAATCGAAGTAAAACTTTTCTACTGAAAGACCAATATTGTTACAATGACAAAGAACTGACTATACGCATTTTCTATCTTGCATCATATATATTTATATACTAGATGCCCTTACATATATCTAAAAAGTTACGAATATTTAGAAGTTAGCCAAAAATATTCAAGTTTTTAATTTTGTTTACATTTTAACTTATTCCTGAATGGAACGTATTTAAGGTAAATTTATTGCCGAGAACATAACTGTGTATAAGAAGCATGAGAATATAGGTACTAATTTCTGTTCTGTTCTTTTTCTTCGATCGGCCACTGTGGTTTTTACGTAGAATAAATAACAAAATTCTTACATCTCAGGAGCAGTATTTAAAAATAAAATCTATCCTTTTTATTGGATATAATTCCATTTCGAAAATAACTCTAGTCTATACAACTTGAATGATTTTTAAAACAAACTTCTGAGTCCCTCCCCCCGCCTAAAAAATAGTGCATGCAAAACTGCATTTCTTAATTTGCCTTTCAAGTAAAATATGTCTCTCAACCATCGTAAAATCCATATTCTAGTATTTTACTGGAAATAAATGAGAGAAAACTTATTTAGATTAAGATTACGCGATAGAAATACTTAATCATCATCTACCGCACATTTCTCATATCAAATTTTTAAGTTTCTGTGATGTTTCCCATAGAGCTCCATACCAAAAAGTTGTGCTTAGATCTATTTTTAGGTTTGCAGTGGTCTTTATGAGGAATAAATGAGACACATTACTTCTTAATGTGCATTCTACACGATTTACGTAATCAACGGGAACATACAAATGTATTTTCATTTGGAATTTAAAAACCTCCACATATGATAGATACCTAATATACAGCAGAATGGAAAACAACATGAAATTGAATACCTAATTCTTTATGAAAAGTAGTATAAAGAGTAAAATACTGGAAAATGAAGCAATATGGCTATGTCTAGCAGATAGAACATGAAATTTGGTTTCTTATTACTGTGAAACAAATTATATCTTAATGGGAAAAATAGGCTATCATACCTAAATATATTAAAAGAGGAATTTCGTTTCTCAGAATTATCCAAAATACATTGATAATAAATACATAAATACATTGGTTGTCTGTAGTTACTCCTAATAACTACAGACAATCGATGTATTTATTGCCTAGGTTTAAGACTGAGTATTATTCTAATGGCCAACATTCTGTTAAAGGCGGTCATAAAAAGAAACAGCAGTGCTTTTAGAAATATTTGTTAGTTATTAATTTGTTTGCGATTTGTTTGCGCATATTATACAACGTTTATTACCATATGAACTAACACGGAATTCTAACAACATGTATCGATAATAATACACTTCGCTTATTATTCTAATTCTATGTGTGTTGTGTTAGGTTTCACAGAGCAAATACATATTTTTGAATTTTAAGTTTCAGTCTAGAATGAAAGACAGATATTAAAACAATTTTGTCTTTTTGTTCAATAAAAGGGATTGCGATACTAAAATTTCTATATGAATTCTACAAAGCAGTATGAATCTTCGACAGGATAAAGTTTATATTTATAACTTTTAAAATGTTAATCACAAATCTTGATCCATTTAATTACAGACATTTGAAAATCTCTATTTTCCATCCGAATTCCACTACATAATTAATATACTCTGATGAGTACTGAACTTCGTTTGTCCACAGAATATTTGAATTCACGGAAGTTTTAATAATGCAAAGTGTTTAGTATATACATCATTTTTCACACGAATAGATAAAAAATGGGTCAACGAATGAATAAACGATTTTTTCATGGAGAACGACATCAATGATTTTTCAATGAATAAATAAAAAGTAGTTAGAGAAGCACAACACTACGATGCATAATTATCAAGAAAATCACACACGAAAATTTATAACGAACATCAGCCGAAATGAAAATAAATTTTATTTTATATATTATTATAATATTTTTAAGTCGTTCTCTCCGTTAATTTAATAATATCGTTGAGTCACATTTTCAAATCAGTTCTTTCAGACATATCCTTGTTTAACGATCAAACACAAAATTTCGATCAATGCGCCATCGGACAGATGGGAAAAAATAAAGTTTCAAAGGAAGTGTTTTCCAAATCTGTCATTAATTTAATTATTTGTGGCAACGGTTTTGAAAACCAGATCTGTCGGAGGCTATCATTGACTAATATTTAAACGAAAAGTTAAAGTATTAAATTAAAAAATTAAAAAATTAAAATCCAAATAAATTAAACATAATCCTGATGGGAGTATTTTGGAAGAAAGATAACGTTACGTACTTCAAGAGAATAATTTTCTTACATTTAGAGATAATGATTTTCATTCTTTATTATTATTTTTTCAAACTTTTTTGAAGTTTAAAATAATATACATTGTTTTAGTTACATGCATCACAGAGAAAAAAATAATTTTTCAGCCATCTTAGCATTCTTAGTCAGATGTAAATAAAAATAAAAGTTTAAGGCACCCATAAAAGCTTTTCACTGAGCCATTCACCAAATTTTAAAAAATAATGAAACTGAGCACGGAAATGACATACAGGGTGGTCACAAAAGAAACTTTCCCAAAACACAAACCACTAGCTGTCTATCCGCTGAAATAATTGAAATAAAATTTCAGATACTGTTTTCGGAAGGTCCGCGCTCGAGATTGGAATGATTTAAAACAACAGAGATTTGGTGGTTATGGTTAAAGTGAAAACATTTCGAAATTTTTGAATGGCAATAGCCACTTTTCTCCTGCGCATAAATTGTTCAGCGCTCTGGAAGACCATAAAGAGTGTTGGGACGTACGACGAAAATTGAAGGAGTAGAACATTTCCAAAGAGCATTGTAAAGGAAAAATGACAAGAAGACAGGAGAATGAAAGAAACCTTTATTCTAATTACAAGTTTTCAACGCGCCCACCTTCCTAGACAATAACCTTTGCGTGTGGGAGATTGTTGATAGCAATGATGAACGTAACATAGCGGAGGAAATCTGTATAACTTAACGTTTTATGGCATGTTTCAGTTCTGAAAGATCTCGTAGATCTGATGTGCACATCTGAGATTTCAGATAAATCCATTGGAGTTAGGTTGGGTAATCGCGGTGGCCACGAAACTGCAGAGTTACGTGAGATGATACCAAACTGCTGTTGCAGCACTTTTCGAACACATGTGGCGACGTGTGGAGGATCATCATCTTACATCCATATGACATTAAAAACATTTCTGAAATTACGTAATTCTGCTACATTGCTGTATACGAGCACATGGCAGGTGGCGGTTGGCCTCCCGAGGACAAATGTCCAGAACCGACCGCATAGCGGGAGGAGACCTGGCATTTGATACGAAGACCGATCTGCCGGTTCTTGACCCGGGGATCGGATGTCCGGAACCGGCTGGAAACCACTGTAGGCGGCGTGAACCGTGCGCGGGAGATCGTCGTAGGCAGCGGCGGAAGGCAGAGACCCGGCGTTTGATCGATGGGCAGGGA